AGATGTTGTTATGTTGTTAGTAGGTCGCCTGCCAAGTTTCATCACATTCGGGGTCCGTTTGACGCCCCAACGGTTAACTATAGCGGCATTATAGCCGGTCTAACGTCGGACGTTTTCAGTTTCCGGAAACGGTTGCCGGGTTGCATTCATCCTCTCTCTTCTCAGCCCAACCACATAATTGACCTCATTCGCCTAACCCCTCTTTGTACAGTGCATTGACCCCTCGCGCGTGTTCGAAACTTCCCTGAACCCGACCCACTCAGTTGTCACCGTTGGGTCCGGATCATCCCCAAACATCTATAAAACATCACCGTTTTCTTATTTGGACTTCCCAACCTAGTTATCTTGGACCAACCTATTTCGATCAGAAGGTCTGAATCTACCCTAAACTCCCCCTCTTTCCTTATATAAGAAACTCCTAGTCTAAATCTGGACAAAACCCTAAAATCTAGGGACTTGTCCCTGCCGCCGCCGCACTCATCTCCCACATCCCCTTCGTCAAACCAAATCCCCCTCGGGATCCATCCCTCCCCAACCATCGCTTGCCACATACAACCTCCAGATCCACCTCCCTCCTCGTTTTCCTCTTGCTGCTGGTGCTGCTCCATCCGCGGCCCAAACCTGCCCAACCACCAGGCTGGATTCCCCGATGCTCTCTCTCCCTCTCTCTGTACCATCTCTCCCGCCTCATCTCTCTCTCTCATAGGACCACGCCGGCGACCAGGCTAACCGCTCTCGTCTCTGGACCCACCCCGAGTTGTGCCTCGTTCCCCAGTCGTCGCCTGCTTTGTCGACGCTCCTAACCCGCTGCCGCTCGTCCTTCTGCAAGCCGTGCACGTGCTAGCACAGCAGCGCCGCCATGGACGCCACAAGCAGAGGCTTGCCTTGTCGCGCTGGCAACCATGGCCTCGCCTTCGCTCCTCCAACGACCATCCTCGTCGTCCCCGACAACCCCAGGTAGCAACCCCGTGACCCCCTCTGCCGCGCCTCTTCGTCCTCCTTCCCTTCCTTCTCCTCCGCGATGCCTTCCCCTTCCTTGACCTCTCTATTTCTCTCTTTCACAGGAGGTTGCACACGCCATGGCACCGCCCCTGTGTTCCCGTCGAACCCCGACGCCACCTCATCCTGCCGCCGCCGGCGACTAGCAGGAGCACCAGCCGGCGCCACCATCATCGGAGATGGGGGCCCGCAGCTCAGATCTGCGCCTCGATCCCGCCTCGATCCGCTCGTTCCCGCCGATTCCCACCGACCCATCGCATGGACCCCCTGCCGTCGTCTCCTGCATCGTGCGGGGCGTGCTGGTGTTTTCTGTTCTTCAGAAACGAGCAGCAGCTCGCCCACTCATCCCCGTTGACCATGCACGTCGCCCGCTTGGGCCAGATCCGCTCAAGGCCCAGCCAGCATTGCCAGCTGGCCCGGGGTGAGCAGCCCCCTGGCTTTTCCTCTGTTGGGCTAGCCGGATGCGGCCTGTATCGTTTTTTCCCTGCCTGCGATTTTAGCTTTTTTCAACTAAACTGCAGTTTTACAAAAAAACCCTCAACATCATGCATATAATAATTCCAGAACCATGCATCATATTAAAATATTTTCAACATGTAAAGTGCTTAGATTTTTTATCTAGTTTCACAATATCCAACTTTCATGCATGTTTACAATGTTAAAAATATTGTTTGATTAATTTTGCCTAAATGCCATGCTAAAATGCTTTATTTCATAACTAAATAACTGTAGCTCCATTGTAAATAAACTTTATATGTAAATGGGGTGAAAAAAATGCATAGATTAACATGATGCACCCACCTTGCATGTTTAACAACTCTAAAATATGGTTTAGGGCAGAACAGTACCAAATACAAAATATGCACATGGGGATTTTCCAGACTTGTTGCTTATTGTTCCGACCTCATTTAAATTTGCCTAGATAAGTAGTTTTATTATGCTTCACCCCTTGCCATGCTAACCAATATTTAATATTGTTGAGTACTTAAACGGGAGAGAACTAAATAATTGTTGTGGTGTTTCATCAATATGCAACTCGTTGCATATTGAGCTCCACTTAACTTGTAGTGTTGTTTGTTGCACTTTGCTATGCCATGCCTCTTTAAACCGGACATGCATCATCCTTGGTTGTGCATCATGCAATGTTTATGCTTGTGTGTTTACTATGTTGCTTGCTCCTTTACGGATTGCTTTTCTCGTTAGCTTCGTTTCGTTCCGGAGTTGTGAGGATCCGTTCGACTATGTCTGTTTGTCTTCTTCATGGACTCGTTCTTCTTCCTTGCGGGATCTCAGGCAAGATGACCATACCCTCGAAATCACTTCGATATTTGCTTGCTAGTTGTTCATTCTATCGCTATGTCGCGATACCTACCACTTGTTATATCATGCCTCCCATATTGCCATGTCAAGCCTCTAACCCACCTTCCTAGCAAACCATTGTTTGGCTATGTTACCGCTTTTGCTCAGGCCCTCTTTATAGCGTTGCTAGTTGCAGGTGAAGCTGAAGTTTGTTCCATGTAGGAACATGGATATGTTGGGATATCACAATATACCTTATTTAATTAATGCATCTATATACTTGGTAAAGGGTGGAAGGCTCAGCCTTATGCCTGGTGTTTTGTTCCACTCTTGCCGCCCTAGTTTTTGTCATACCGGTGTTATGTTCCTTGATTTTACGTTCCTTACGTTGTTGGGTGTTATGGAAACCCCTTGACAGTTCGCTTTGAATAAAACTTCTCCAACAAGGCCCAACCTTGGTGTTACATTTGCTTAACAACCTAAGCCTTTTTTCCTTGGGTTTCCGGAGCCCGAGGGTCATCTTTATTTACCCCCCCCCCCGGGCCAGTGCTCCCCCGAGTGTTGGTCCAACCTGGGCGATGTCCGGTGCCCCCTGGGCAACCAGGGTCTATGCTAACCCGACGTCTTGCCATCCGTACTGCCCTGAGAGCGAGATACGTGCGACTCTTATCGGGATTTGTCGGCACATCGGGCGGCTTTGCTGGTCTTGTTTTATCATTGTCGAAATGTCTTGTAACCGGGATTCTGAGACCGGCCGGGTCTTTCCGGGAGAAGGAATATCCTTCGTTGAACGTGAGAGCTTGTGATGGGCTAAGTTGGGACACCGCTGCAGGGTATAAACTTTCAAAAGCCGTGCCCGCGGTTATGTGGCAGATGGGAATTTGTTAATATCCGCTTGTAGAGAATTTGACACTTAACTTAATTAAAATGAATCAACCGCGTGTGTAGTCGTGATGGTCTCTTCTCGGTGGAGTCCGGGAAGTGAACACGGTTCTTATGTTATGGTTGTGCGTAAGTAGTTTCAGGATCGCTTCTTGATCATTTCTAGCTTCACGACCGTTGCGTTGCTTCTCTTCTCGCTCTTATTTGCGTATGTTAGCCACCGTACTTGCTTAGCCTTTGGTGCAGCTCCACCTCATTACCCTATCCTATCCATAAGCTTAAATAGTCTTGATCTCGCGGGTGTGAGATCCTTGAGCCCTCGTGACTCACAGATACTTCCCAACAGTTGCAGGTGCCGATGATACCAGTGCAGGTGACGCAACCGAGCTCAAGTGGGAGCTCGATGAAGATCTTGATCGTTGTTTTGTGTCTTTTCTGGTTGATCAGTAGTGAAGCCCAGTTGGGACGATCGGGGATCTAGCATTTGGGGTTGTCTTCTTTTATTTTGGTTCTGTAGTCGGACCTTGATTGTACTCTGGGTGATGTATGTTTAATCTGTTATTTGTGTGAAGTGACAATTGTAAGCCAACTCTTTATCTCTTTCTTATTCAGTACATAGAATTGTGTGAAAATTACCCCACTTGCGACTAAATCACCATGCGGTTATGCCTCTAAGTCGTGTCTCGACACGTGAGAGATATAGCTGCATCGTGAGCGTTACACATGGTGCACGCGGAGGTGGCGCCGCATCAACCGGGTGCTTCGTCTGTTCTATCCTGTGTTGATCATGATCGAACCACTAAGGGCTCAATCAGAACATGAAACGAACCAGAGGGCAAATCCGTCCTAAAAAGTATGATGTGTGGGCTTGGACGTGAAGAGGTAGGAAAAAATTCAATTTGTGGTGTTTTGTCCAGCTATCCATAAAAAATGTGTTATTTAGTTCAATAAAAAGAAAGATGTGCTGTAGGAGCAAAGTCCGAGAAAAAATGTGGCATTCCCTCGACACAGAAAAAAAGTTACCTAGAGTACGAACGCTGTTCTCAGGTAAAAAAAATACAGCACGAACGCCGTCGCTGAAAGCGGACGAGCGGGGCATGAGAAGGGTGAGGAAGGAAGAAGGGCAGGGGGCTCAGATTGGTGCCACTGCCCCCCGACGGCGACCCGTCCGACTGACGCCGTCGCCGGTTTGCGGCAGATCCGATTCCGAGGAGGAGGGCTGTGTATTGGTGGACGGCGGTCGGAGGGTGGACGGCGCAACGCAAGAAGGTGACAGTGCGCCTATCTGTAGCAGCGTCAAATTTTAGTTTGCATTTGCTCATTGCAAATATCTTGAATGGTAACCCTTAAATCCTTTTGACTTGTTTTTGTTGAGTTGGAAAAAAGCGAGTCCAAACGAAATTGAGTTGTTTGTTTGTTAGCGGCAGAACATCAAACACTTACGGATGCTTGATCTACTGTCGACTTTGTGCCAATCTAACTTGCCATAAACTTCATACGTCCTTAATTTGATCCTCAATGTGTTACAACATATTCTTGTATGGTACTCATTTTGGAGCACAAAAAGTTTGTGTCTACCTTTTTCAAGTATACTTCAAAGTCTTCAGTAGAACTGAAATAATCTATGTCTCTCCACCCCTTGTTCCCAAGCTCGGGGTGCCGCGTAGAATAGTAGCAGTACAAATTACATTTATTGATCAATTCAGGTAAACTAGTAGACTACATGCATACAAAAACCGTGACATTAATTTGTACTCTGAGAAGCTATATATATCGTCAATCGTTTCGTCTCACTCATCGACAATCATTTCATCTAGTAGCTAAACAGCAGTCAACCGAGAACGTTGCGTTAGCTCTTCAAAGGCGCGCATCGCTTCACTGTCGAGTCCTCCCGCAAACTACAAATTCCAAGAAATCAAGCAAATAAAATGAGCATATGGCATCATCCTTGATTCATTTGAAGGACGGGGGTAGTACATACCTGGTGAACCCTATATGTGAAACGCACGCTTTGAGCGACAAGAGCAGCCTCATTCCCTCCTCCTGTATAAGCTGTTATTTCCTTGAGGGCTCTTTTCATGTACACCTTTGCCAGTGTTACTGATGCCACCCTCATCTGCAAATTCAAACAGATGAACAATTCGCAACCGGTTAATCTCTGTTTGGTGCAAATATCAAGTACACAGATACTATGTTTTTAACTGAATGCAGATATACTAATTAACTGACTACCTTCGAAGCAATCCCTGAATCAAGCATCCATTCAGTCGGAATTCCAAACTGTTTATAGCACGGCATCACCGAGCTCCTCAGGTTCACTAATCTCTTCATGCTCTTCTCCAACCTGGCAAACAATTAAGTACCATAAATCAAGTTTCAGCACCCAAATCACGTGTCAGCTCAATTGGTTCTTGATTTCATACTTATCCAGCAGGCTTGATATCTTCCTCAGAGTAGCCTCACACGAAGTAGGGCTGCCATCGTCGGCGTTCAGGGAAGAGATCTCTGTTACGACACACTTGAGATCCCGGTATTCAAACGCTGCTTCCCGGAGTGCATCAGCTTTCCTCTCCGGCCAACTGAAGTGCTTCAACACGCCTGTTTCATCCGACTGAATTTTACAGCAGCTTAATTTGGTTAGTAACCACCTCACCAACCATCCCAGGTGTTGTCCTTGTACTGGTAGAAAACGGCAATTGGAACTAAATATTATATAGTGTTTGCTTGATTACCAGAGTTGAAAGTTGTTGATCAAGCCAATCAACAAAGGTCAGCACTTGCTCCACATCGGTGTAAGTAGTGGTCTGAACTTTGTTAATGAGACCATTGATGAAGTCTCCTTTTGTTTCGACATCCGTCTTGATCTGAACAAAAGATAGACATACATCTAGTAAGAAATCGTGTCTAGCAAAAAAATCGAGGGTCGTTTCATGGCAATAGTGCTGACCGCCAATAAGTGCGTGGAGCGGTTCTGTAGCTCGCCGACGATGCTGTTGTGATGAGCAGCACTGACAGTCACAGCTTTCTTGGTGTCACGCTTGTTCAGGGAGTTGTACATCTCAACTAACGCGGTTGCCTTGTTCACTGTGCCTATTGTGCCACGTTGCGGAGGGGGAGGAGGCGGTGCCGGGGCTCTTCCGAGGATTTTACTAGGTGGTGGTGGCGGCGGCGGTGAGGGGGGCTTCGGAGGCTGTGGTTTGCTCATGGCACTGTCTTTTAGGTTGTTTCGTTGCGCCACAGCGGTCTGCGCCTGCTGAATTGAGAATCAAAAATCATTTGCTGTCTGTTAGCCACCCGCTGCTGCGTACAGTTGTGAATGAACATGGAGTCATGGACATCTCATGGTAGAACAAAGCAGGTTGCAGGTAAAGGGAGAGATTTACATAAATCCAGTTTTGTTTTCAGGAAATGGAAGAAGAAGCAACTGCACAGTGATCGAAGAGGTCTGTGGTGACATGGAGACCAACTTACATAGATGTCATGCTGCTCCTGAAGTCGGGTGATGGTGCAGCGCGCAAGGGCGAGCTGGTGCGTCAGGTCGCTCTTGTCACATTCCAGCTCGGTGTTGAGCAGCTGCAGCCTCTCCACCTCCTTCCTCAGGGCCTCCACCTCCCCACGCAGCTTGCGCGTCTCCTCCTCGGAATCCTCCTTGTGCCTCTTTGGCTTTGCAGCTGCACCAGTCACCACCCTCTCCTCCTTGCTGCTCACCCTCACAAGCCTTCTGGCCCGAGGAGGGGTGGCGGGTGCCGGAGCTGGAGACGAAGGAGCTTCCTTGATGGGTGTTGCTGCTGCTGCTGCTCTTGGAACCCTGGTTCGCGCGGCCACCGATGGCGAGGAGATCCTGCCGCCATGGGCGTTGCTCAAAACCTGCTGCTTCATTGCGTGTGTGAATCCAAGGAGCAGCCTAAGCCTAGAGTTCTAGCCTTTATTGCTGTGTTGCGACCTGCACTGAATACTCAGTGTCAGAAAGGAAGGTGCTGCCCGGGTGGTGGTTGGCGATGGCAATATATGTTGGCAACTTGGCATGCAGCATGTGGGTTGTGGAATCGGCACACAGCTCAGCTCTTTGTTGACTGCAAAGCGGCAGATACTAGTACAAACAAGAGAATTATCAGTGTCAATTGCAGTGAGAAAAAGAGAGAGAGCAACAGCCTGCCTGCCTGAACCTGATTGCTGTTTAATGCAAAGTAGGGTGTGGTAGGCAGTTGAGAGTGTCCAATCGGCCATGACCATAGAGGACGAACAGGACCAGAAAGCAGAGACACAGCAATAAACCAGTGCCGTTACTATTTAACCAACCGAAAACACAGTACTACACTGTTTCATTGCATTGCAATACGAGATCTACTCTACTCTACATGTCAAATGGTAATTACCGTCCCTCAAAATGTTTGTATTGTTCTGGTGTATGAAGACACTAGTTATGCAGTAATTTCCTGTAACTTGGTGCGTACTTGCATCTGGATTATTTATGCATTGGTTGAGGTTCTTCCTGTAATCCCATCTTAGGGGGTTAAAAAATAGTGCAGGCTGCGGAAAAACAGGTGGAAAGACAAGACAGCAACATATAAAGCATTGGATGCTAATACAGACCAAATCATTAAGCCACACACATTTAATATCGAGGGCAGGCAGTTGACAAAAGGCCGGGGTAGTTATGGCTGGAACACTGGTATATACTTCTAGACCATGTGAGAACCATTTAGCTGAATGTATACAGTTTAACTTGAAGCAGCACACCAGAATCTGCACATTTCAAGAAACAGATAAGCACTTCATGTTCAAGGCTCAATTTGTCCCTCTTTTTTCCCCTTACTTTTGTAACTTTAAGACAGACTTTGCTTTTCATTTGTTTAATTCATGTCTGGTGTGTGCGCCACCTGGCTTCCTCACCAGTCACCACTAGTTCAATACAAAATTAATTTTGGCATAATACAAGTGATCAGTTCATTGCCAAAACACATGTAACTGAAGACTGGTGGTAGTGTTTGCCGTCTATTGTCTTTGCCTTTTTAGTATATAGTTTAACAACTGACCCAATCACCCCAACTAGTTTTATACTTTAAGCAATGACATAATCATGAAGCATGACAGACCAACCCCATGCACTAAACTGAATCGAAGCTAACTCGCCTAAGTGACAACAAAACAAACAAACAAAACTCATTCTCCAGCGAAAATCGGTGACAATAAAATCCATGTGAAATGGAATAAGTAGAAGAAAGAAAGCATCCAAGAGGAGCAGTGGATCACAACAGAGTACTTCATCCTCCAAATAGGAATCAGAATCATTGACACCAATTTAGAATGATCACATGAATTTCATCATAATATATTCCTTGCCAAAAAGTTACAAGGGACAGAAGGGCACACCTTTGTTTTGCAGGATGCAAGAGACAAGCAGCTCCAAAGGAAATAATCTGATAGCAGAACAGTGGAGAGGTGCTTCTACTTATAGATGCCACGAACAGGTTGCTGATAGTGGGAAAGTAGGTGTGACATTTGGATCAAACTGAGGACCAACAATTGAATGCCACAATCTTATATATGTATAAACAAAAAGAAAATGCCCAGCTAGCTAGCTGTTGGTGGAATGTCTCAACATTCCCCCTTCCACATCACTGAACAACCAACCCAACGAAAGCAACCCAAACTCCCAAAGTGCATATCAGTCTTATGTGTCAGGGCACAGATACATCCATTGACCATTGGTAAGCCACTTCTTTTATGGATAAAATGTATACAAAAGCTTCCATGTGTTACAAGTGCATGGATTGGTCATTAATATGTTGAAGAGCTACAGCTCACCCGAGTTTCAAATTATGGTTAGACATGACATCAGAGTTGGAGATTGACCACCTAAACTCGCTTCACAGAACTTAATGGCCCCAACTGCACTTCCAAGATTTTGCATGTGCTGCTTCAAGTTTAAATCACACATTCAAACTGAGCAAAATACAACAACTTGCAAGAGCAGAAGTGCACATAATCAACATTTGATTTGATACACCTAGAAACTACATCCACTGGTTAATACAGGCAATAAGCCTACTTCCTACTAGCACACAACTCTGGTCTACTCATACAGGATACAACCACTACAGCTAAAGGCAAAACTCTAAATCTTTGCCACCACTTCAACTCTCACAGTTTCCAAAATTCTGGAGCAGCTTCGTTCTTCAAAATATCCCTCCAACGTATGGCAATGCAAGCGTTGAGAACAAACCTGCCCAGGACCAGCCAGAGGGCAAGATTGAGTGCCAACCATTGCCAGTGTTGGCCTCTCCTGGGAAGTCCGACCCAAAGTCTGATGATCCAGAAATGCCTGAGCCACTCGAGTTCAGTACTGATGATCCTGGATCAGAATCAGATGAACTAGTAACAGGGCTAGTGGATGATGTAGTAGGAGCAGTGGATCCAGCAGTAGAGCTGCAAAGATGAAATAGTTCACCATACACATCATTGCTTTAAACACGAGAGTTCCATGTTATCAGAATGCAAATTTATAAGCTTCACCTCGTTGGAGAAGACATTGATGATGCCAATACACAGGTTGCTGAGCCTGCAAAGAGGAGATGTAAGCATGATATTTCAGAACACCAAACTGAAAATCCTTGAAGCTATCTAGAAGGAGAAACCGTCTTACTTGGATTAGCATTGGCAAGCATTGCGGCACCCCTAAAGTCGCAGCTGGAGGGTGCAGGGTTCTTCTGGTAATAGCTGTTGAAGGCGTATGACGCATGGGCTTCCAAGGTATTTGGATAATAGCAGCTCCCTGATGGCTGTATTGGTGAGCAATCTGCTCCACCAATACCGCACGCATAGTCCAGTGCGTCCTGGAGCGCGGTTTGTGATGAGCCGGCCTTGGCCACGCACCAGGCTTGCTGCCCTGACACAACAGGAGCTGTGACTGGAGTAGTGGTCGGAGAAGTAGGCGGTGTAGTGCCGACAGTAGGCACCATTGGGTTCGTCGCTGGGTTTGTCAGTGGTGCCGATGGGGGGAATGTCGAAGGGGTGGTAACAGGAATGGTGACTGGCGTGTTGGGTGCAGATGTCGAAGGGGTTGGCAATGGTAATGTGGTAGAAGGGTCGTTTGAGGGGGTTGTGATAGGTGTGGGCAAAGGGTTTAATGAAGGGATTGTGATGGTAGGGTTTGTGGACGGCACGGTGATGATTGTTGGTGTTGGGTTCGTCGATGGGACTGTGATGGGCGTGGTCGGGTTGGTCACTTGAGCTGGATCCAAGTCATCATGGACAGTTGGTTTGCCTGCGTTAGCAACAATGAAGTATTTAGAGTGATTAGCTAGCATGGAATGCTAAGTTTCATGTTCTGATAGAGCACATGCATAGAACTAAGTAGGCAAGAAAGTAGGTATGAGATGCATATTGCCCAAGAGGGCTGTGAAATGAAAGTGAAATCTTAGAAAAGAAATTATCGTTACATGCATGCTCAGTTGTAGGCAAGTAGCAGTATGAAAAGAGAAGGAATGGGCCACACATGCATATCCCATCCCAGTATATGTATCTATACAGTGATGCTCCCCAATCTGAAGCACGCACAAATCAGCACAATTAATCTCTCCCAGTCCCAGATCGAGATGTAAATGCTGAAGTAAGTAGTATTGTGTTACTCCAGAGTCCAGACATAGAGTGGGATTTGTGTACAGATCGAAGGGGACGTTAAGTTCAGAATTAACCGTTCGTCCGTCCCATATATAAAAGGGCAACCTGGTAAATGTAGTTCCCGCTTGCGCAGGGTGGTCCGACCACTTTGGGTCCGTCTCATATATCACCTCAAGAAAATGAAATCGTGTGCAGCAGCCGCAGGTAGAGGCGCAAGAGTACATTTCGGAATCTAAAAATGTCCGCGGTAGTTGTGCAGATGAGCCTCCGGGACGGGGATCTAAACAGGAATTATAGTGGTGGAGGGTTTTATGGCGACAGAGCAGCTGGAGAAAGAAGAAGAGGAAGTACCTGAGACCGAGGGGAGCTCGAGGAAGAGGAGGGAGCAAGCGAGGGGCAGGAGGAGGAAGAGGAGGGGCAGGAGGAGGAAGAGGAGGCGAACCACCATCCTCGCCGCCGGCCGCTCCGCAACCAGACAAGAAAGAGGTGGGTCGCCGCCGCAGCCTCAGCTAGTGTTGTTTTTTTGGGGGCTGCCCGAGGGAAGGGAATGGAAAGGAAAAGGTGGTGATGGTGGTGGTGGTGGTGGTAGCAGGAGGCACGAGAGAGAGGTATGGGCGGAAAAGGCGCAAGGTGAGAGAGAGAAAGCACGCTCCCTCGCTTTCACTGTCACTGCAGCATCCGTCTGGAATGGAATACCGAATACAATACCCGTATCTATCTACGCATCCGCACCGCACAAGGGAAGAATGTTGGTAACAGCATCTATAATCGGAGTCTCTCGCTTCTGGCGGCTGGAACTGATGCGAAGCATCCCAAGATCATTTTCATGGATCTCTCATCGTCCCACCAAATGTCTAGTGGACCCATGACACGAGCATGTACAAGAGCTCTCGAAATTGAGGTGACATCACTCCTCTTACAATTTCACTTCAATGCATATGAGACTTGGCTACTACCTCAAACGGAGATATTGTGCATACTCAGGTACCAAGGAGCTAGCCATGGAGAAGCTAAGGAGCAAGAAGGATTGGGAGCGAAAGACAGAGAAGAAATCAGCCAAGTCCCAGACTGGTTGGATGATCCGGACAAGGTCCCGGACGATCCGGACACAGTCCGGATGATCCGGACCCCAGCCCGGACGATCCGGACAATTGGAGACCCGAGAGCAACATAAGCTGCCCTGAAGCCAGATCATTCGGACCCAGTCCCGGATCATCTGGACATACCCGGACGTCCGGACCAGGACCCGAACATCTGGACCTCCCGCAGCCCCCACGACACAGCCGGACAATCCGGACGCCGACCCGGATCATCCGGACCCCTGAAGCCCGGATCATCCGGACCTACACCCGGATCATCCGGACAATGCCTGCGTGCATGATGTTGGGTCGAGGCCCAAGTACCCCTTCGCCCCCTTTGCCTATATAAACGACTCCTCCACCACTTTTCTAGGATTAGCATTGGTTTAGCTCATATTTAGAGATAGAACATTGCTCATCCACATCGGATCTACTCCATGAGAGAGACCGCGGTCCCTCTTCGGAGAAGATCCCTTTGGATTCAAGACCCCTCTAAGGGAAGATCCCCTTGTGGATTCAAGACCTCCTCACGGAGAAGACCGGCTACCTTTGTATCGTCCTTAGTTGTCCGTGGATCGTGTGATCTCTTATGTACTCGAGGATCTAGCACATGTGTGACTATTTCGTGTTGGTTTAGTGATTCTCTCGTGTTTTCCCTTGTGTTTCCCCTCGTTTTTCCCCTCGTGTTCTTCGCGGGATCCGCTTCTTTCGTGAAAGATCGGCTGATTAGGGTTCTATCCTACATCATCTTGGTATCTAGAGCCACGTTGATCACGATTTCGGAGCCTCCCCGTTGTGTTTCTAGCCTTGTTTTTGTTATTTTTCGTCCTAATTCAAAAATCCCCACAAAAATAGCCCCAAAAAATTTTCTTGTGATTTGTGAGTTTTGATAATGTTTTGTTGGTTTTGATCCGTGCATTTGTTGTGTTGCAAGTGGATCTTACCTTCCCCCACCATCTCCACCTCGCAATGCACCCCAAAATCCACGAAATCATCGAATTTGCCTCCTTTTTCACGTTCATCCCGAGCCTTTCCCCGAGCGAATTGACCCGCCTGGATCATCTGGACCCTGACCCGGATCATCCGGACACGCCCGGATCATCCGACTCCTGCCCTGGATCATCCGGCTACACCTGACGAAACTGCATTTCCTGCAGTTTTATTACATCGCCGCCTACGCCTCCGCATACCCCCTTCGACTACCACCACCTACCTTCCGCCAACCCTTTCGATACATCCACCACTTGACCGCTACCAACTCTGACACATTTTGCCGCTTTTGGTTTTGAGAATTTGAGTTGTAGTTCATCGTTTCCTAGGGTGTTTCGGCTAACTAGGAACGGTTCGACATCGACATCACCGCCGCTCATCTTCGCCACGGACGCGTCATCAACAACGACCTTCCCGGTAACCTCATCTTGGGTTCGTGACACCCTCAACCGTAAGAAAGGATGGTAACTTCGACGACATCTTTGTCCACCCCTTGCCTTTACATTGATAACCACCATAGCCTTATCCTTTTGCGTAGCTTACCCATCGAGACTAGCCATTGAGTATTGCCGGCAACGTAACTTGTGCACATTAGTGATCATACTTCCCATAGCATACATACATCATTGGTGCATATCTTGGTATCATCTCTTGTGTCACAAAGTTGTCATCGCATACACAATTGCTATCTTGGTTCGTGAAGCATTGCACGAGAAAAGAGCTCAACACACAAAGAGCCCAACAAGCTTTTAAGCAAAAGGGAAAGATAAGCAAAGAGCTTATAAGCAAGAACCATAGCATCATACAACATTAAGATTGGCATACTAGATCATCTTGGATCATATCATCGAAACACCATACATAGAGCATACTTGGGATATAAGTCATTCCATTTTTGCTTAGTAGGTTGTGCACAAGTTCGTATCCGCCTATTGTGCAATCGTGCTAGCGTCTCTCTAGTGTTGTGCAACACGAGCATTTTTCATGGATTCCACATTTTGGCTCATCCTTGGTTGCACAACCCCACTTATCTCTTTGCGCGTGTGTTTCCGTGTACTTTACATTGCTTGGTCTACTTGTTGCATTTGCAAATTTGCGAATCTTTTCCAACATTATTGAATCTTGCTTACTTTCACATCAAATTTTGTGCCACCATCCTAACCAAGCTCCACCATAAGCTTTTACGTGTGTAGGTGTGAGAAACCGACAAGAATTGGTACCAATTGTGCTATTTCCTTGTTCCACATTGGAGTGATCATTGATCCACTTTCAACTTCGGTCAAGGTACATTTGGTATACGTTCTTCTCTTTCTACCACTCACATTTTTCTCTTAGAATGATGGATAGGCCAAGTACTTCTACCAACCCACTCTTCATTGAGCATGATGACGACATGAACTCCTACGTCACCAAGAGCCACCTCTTTGGTGCATAACGTGCTTTGCATCAAGAGCAACAAGCAATGAGTGAGCGCATCGACAACCTCGCCACCGACTTGCAACTCTCTGAGCAATGTACAAGAGACTACTTCGACCATAAGCTCGATGATCACAAGCAAGAGAACGACACAAGAATGGACGAGATTCATGCTTTGTTGCTCAACCGCTCTTCTTCCACTTCGTCCTCATCAAGACGGAGCCGCTCAAGTCGACACTCCGACTTCACCCTCTCTGGCTCAAGTACACCGACATCGAACACTCTTCGCCGTGCCGCGCGCAACGATCGTCAAGCAAGCCTCAATCCTCTACACGACAACGACTCTCAAGAGCACCAGCATCGTCAAAACCAAGCTGCCTTTGCACAAGCATGCGAACGGCAACGCCAACACCAACATGAAGAGGAAGAGCGAGTGCGTCTACACCAAGAAGCACAAGATGCCGAGGCACAATATAAAGCGCAACAATTGCGAGATGCTCAAGCACTTGAGGCGCAACAAGCCCTCCAAGATTCAAGTCGAGCCGTAGCCAACCGAGGCCGACAAGCTCGTGAACATGAAGAAGCACTTCGTGAAGAAGCTCACAAACGGAGATTTCAAGCTCGCGTGCAACGTCAAGCTCGACAAGTTCCTCCACAAGCTCGCCAAGAACATCAAGTTCACCAAGAGCATGAAGACAATGAAGGTCCTCCACGACAAGAGCAACATGAGGTCGACAACCCTCCTCGCCAAGAGCACAACGAGTTTGACAATCATCAACTACATGGGCATCATCATCCTCGACCCCAACACAATGAAGAGCAACGCTATGGCAAGCTCAAGTTCACCATGCCCAAGTTCAATGGAAGCAACGATCCCGAAGAGTACCTTTCATGGGCATTGAAGGTTGACAAAATCTTTCGCTTGCACAATTATGACAACACTATCTTCGCCCTCATGAATTCATCATTCATACCGATCATGAAACGCTCAAGTACCTTAAGGGCCAAACCAAGTTGAACAAGCGTCATGCTAAATGGAGTGAATTTATTGAGTCTTTTCCTTATGTCATCAAGTACAACAAAGGTAAGGAAAACGTTGTGGCGGACACTCTTTCCCGCATATGCATGCTTGTTACTCAACTTGAATTGGATGTCATTGGCTTTGAGCACATAAAAGACTTGTATGAGCATGATCCTACTTTTGCTATCCCTTATGCCAAGTGTTTGACGCATACCTCTTGGGAACGCTATTACATCAAAAATGGATATCTCATGAGAGCTAACAAACTTTGCATCCCCGAGTCTTCTATTCATTTGTTGCTTTTGCAGGAATCTCATGGAGGTGGACTAATGGGACATTTTGGACGCGACAAGACTTTTGCTACGCTGTCCAAGAACTATTACTGGCCCAAGATGTTTCGCGACGTCAACCGCTTCACCAACTGATGCTCTACATGTCGCAAAGCTAAGTCTAAAGCTCAATCCCATGGCCTTTACATGCCTCTCCCAATTCCATATCAACCATGGGAAGATATTAGCATGGGTTTTGTACTTGGATTGCCTAGGACTAGAAATGGAAAGCATTCGGTATTTGTTGTTGTGGACCGATTCTCTAAGATGGCACATTTTATTCCTTGCAACAATATAGACGATGCTTCACATGTTGCCAATCTCTTTTGTAGGGGAATATTGCGTCTACATGGAGTACCAAAGACGATCGTCTCGGACCGCGACGTCAAGTTTATAAGCTACTTTTGGAAGACCCTATGCACCAAGCTCGGAATCAAGCTACTCTTCTCCACGGCGTACCACCCACAAACCGACGGCCAAACGGAAGTGACCAACCGCACACTCTCCGCTCTACTTCGAGTGCTCATCAAGAAGAACATCAAGGAGTGGGAGGAGTGTCTACCTATCGCCGAGTTCGCCTACAACCGCGCAAGACACTCAACAACCGGCAAGT